TACCACTGAGTAGACTCTGGCTCCTACTGACCTTATAATAGAATGCATCAATAATCTAGTATGCCATCTTCACGATTGCTGGTATGATCATGGAGTCTGTTGTGGCTATTTTGTTGGTCCACCTCATTGAGGGTTTTCCTCATTTTCACTGACCCAACATGTTCTGTTTTTTTTTTTCTAGCAATTGGCCTTTGTATCCAAAGTAAGTAAGCCAATGTCTTCCCATTTAAGTATTTAGTTGTGTTTTCCTCTAAGATTGATTTGTTCATTCCGGAAGTTCATGATATAGACAATATCCTTTGCCAATATACAAATTTAAATGTACCTGGGAGCCATCAAGGCAAGTGGTCGGGTCCCTTCAGGGCAAACCCCCTTCCAAGACTAAGATTGAAAGAGAATACATGAGCAGGCATGTGATCTTATTGGTGACCATGTTGGTCACCAATAAGGGAAAGTGGGGGAAAAACAGCAATGATGTTGTGAGCTAAGTCTGACCACATTCAATAGACTCCTCTGAACATGGATTGAGACCTGGTTGGTCAGCAGTATGGCAAGACCTGGGGACTCCTGGGCCCAGAGACAGTGACATGGCCATTTCAAAGGACTAGAGCAGAGTGAAGCATCCAGCTGATATGAAGTGAGGGGAGATGCACAAGAACACCCATACTTGCAGATATTACCCACTTGACCTGGCTTCAGTGGCTGGATGATTAAAACTCAACTAGAAGAAGAAAGAAGAAGGAAAAAGAGTACTCTGCTATAATTTGATGAATTTGACCTATACTTATGGATGTAGTAGTTCAAAGGAGGGAACAAAGCTTTATGGCGAGGATCATTCCTACCCCCTCAGTACACAGGGTTGACAGGGATGGGCAACTTAGACACTGGCCAACCAAAAGGGGGGAGGATGCTACAAAGCCACGAAGTGACTGGCTTACAAGCTTTCAAGAGAGAGCCTAGTTCCATAGGGTGCGGGGGAAGGTAGACTCTCCACTGAGTGGTTTCCAATCTGCCTGGAGGACACTGATGAAAGAAGATGGGGATAAGACTTTTGTGGTACAACAGTGAATAATTGCTATCAGGACTGACTGTGAGAGTTGAAAATGTAAAGGTAGACATTTTGTAACAAAAGGAGGGGAGTGGCTAACTTTGCAGAGTGGAGGTCCCTGGGACCATCAAGGGAGAGCAGCAGATAGCAAGACCCAACCCATAGAAGCAGTGATGTCAGAAATGGAGGCAGAGATGATGATATGGAGAGATGGAGTGGCTGGGGACTCTGGACTAGGAGGGAGAGGGGCTGTGTGCTGGAGACCAGGAGGCAGGCTTGCAGGGTGTACCCTTGGTTGTTTGATGATGCATGGACAGGATTGTAATCATGGTAATGAAACAAAATAAGATAGTATGGATGTAAAGCTAATGTTCTCACATGTAAACTCACATGTATCAATTCTTTTGTTTTTTTCAATTTCTTTTTAATTGTTCAGCTTTCCCATGGATATGACACAAATGACCAAGGCCAGAATACAAAATCTGTAGGCTTTCTTCCATAATATTTAATTTCTTCAGTTAGAAAGGACAGTTTTTACCTACCAGTATTTCAGAATTAACTGCTGTGTTGGTTTAAGACCATGATGTGATGAAGACATGAGGTCTATATGTTGTAAGTGGATAAAAGAAGCAGTATTTTGGCTGCTCCCTGTCCCCCCTCCAGGCTTTTCAATGAGACCATGAAACCCTTATGACAAAAAGACTTCCTCTTACCTCTGAAATCCACACAAGTTACTTACACAACCAATTTTACCATCGTGCCCATTCCAGCAATTTTTTCTTTACCATCTCTGCGAATTATGCACTTCATGTCTTTGTGGCCCCCTCAGTTAATGCTTATCTGTTGCCAACGTCAGTTAGACTAGGTCTCCCACCTGGTGCAAGGGAAATCTTTGCCTCTTCGCAACTTTCATAGGCTACTTAATCATGTTGTATCAGCCAGACAGGAAAAACATGGCTCAGTGATGTGATGATTTTCTTGAAGAGGCCATTTATGATGGTGTGAACAAGGTTAGAGGAAAATTACAAGCACCCCTAGTCCAACAGAAGAGCTAAAAAAGCAAGGAGAAGAGGAATTACCAGATCCCTGAGAAAGTAGCTCTAGTGACTAACTTGAAACATGACTTGCAATTCAAGAAGGCAGCCACTGGGAACTCAGGACAATCAAGGAAATGGGGAACAAATACCTTAATTTCACTCTTCTCTTACATTGTTTTCCTGTTGGGGCTTCCCATTGGCCAAACAACAGGGATGTAAGGAGACGGTTGATAACAATGTTTAAATGTCATCCTACGAGTCCAGTTGTGCCAATGTAGGATAAGTACTGGACTGCTAATGACAGGGTTAGTGGTTCAAACCTACCAGTTGCTCCTCAGAACCTTATACAGGATTGCTATGAATTGGAACTGACTCTAAGGCACTGTAACAACAACTGTTAAGTTATAGAGCAGTACAGAGAACCATTGAGGATGGTTTTAAAGGAGTAAACAAAATATCTTATGCACAGCCAACATTTTTTGATAATTTAAAATGAAGATTTCTGGGCTCAAGTGGCCATCCAGTATGGCTCTGACTTCTCTACATCTTTTCTTTCTGAAGCCTGCAGCTTATGCTCTGGCACCTTCTAAAAGTGAATGCTCCCAACAGAGGTGATACCTGTTGTTCGCTACCCCTGCGAGATCCTTCTCCCCAGTCTCATTCCTAGCCCAGATTGTCTTTCAGTCAGTCCAGTGAGGCCCCGATGTATGTATTTAGCTTTCCTGCTCCAATAATTTGTAGGCTAAAAATACCTTCATCTTATTGTAAAACACTATCAACAAAAAGTAACTGGACAAACAATAAAATAAAAAATGTAATCTTTATTAGTTTTGCACATTTTAAATGTTGATTAGCATCATTTAGGGTAACAGTAGCATTTTCCAGCATGCAGTTCACGAATACAGTTTACCTAAGTAACTTTATGAAAAAGAGGAGACTATGGTTTGCTTCTGTAAGAAACACAAGATGTCCTGATGAATTTGATTATTTAAGTTCACTACTCTCTGTTCTTGTGGGAAAAAAAGAAAAAGTGAATCTCATTATATTTAGAATGATCTATATCAGCATAGGTCCAAATCAAAACAACAAATAAAGAGGTTAGAAAAAATAAGGCCAAGAAAAAGAAAAGAAATTCTACTCTAAATCAGTCAGTACATGCACTACCAGAAATGTAAATAATATTTTATACCCTTTCCCAATTGCAAAGTATAATTTGGGTGTGAGTTGTGAACTTATTTTTTTTGCCTTAAAATCATGAAATAATCTAAAATTAGCAAATGTAATAAAAAAGCAGAAAGCTACAACTACCCAGTCTTGTTTTCATTTCTTATTTAGCAAATTTCATCCATGAAAAAGTGCTATGGACAGAACGTAAGAAAAGTGACTGTGATGTCAACCTGAAGATCGTTTCCTTTTCTTATATATGTACATAATGCTGAAAAATAAAACTAAATGACTTTTTACAGTATTTATATTTGCTTATAAAATTCTAAACACATTTTTAACAGGTTAAGCAATGTTGCTGTTGTTTTTTGTTTTTTTGTTTTAATACGTCTGTACAGTCTGGCTATACACCATATGTTATCCACTTAAAATTTAAAAATAACCCAAAAAGCTGTTAAAGTGCTGCAAACTATTGCTTAATGACTTAAAGGAATGAGAGCTGTTGAAGAATTCCCATGATTTTTACCAGTGGCATATGGTTTCTCATAAACGAGATTCTGAACAGTGGAAGAAACCAGATACAGCAGCGTGGTAATATAAACATGCATTGATAGCATCCAAACTATCTATAATGGTACAGAATACATTATATTACCTGTAGAAAGCTTACACTCTACATTTTGCGTGGTACATATTTGATGCAATAAATACTGTGCTTAGGTCATTATTTGTTTGCTCAAACGTGCACCACGGGGTAAAATGACTATTTACATAATAAATAGCATTTCATTAACATATACGGTGTCAACCTTGCTGAGAGCTGAAGATGGCTAAACAAAGAGTAGGACTAAGCAGAAATTTATAAAGGGTTCTTTTGGTCAACTCAGTTTTCTGGTGGCGGGGGCATAGTATTATTTAGGGTTTGTGTGTGTGTGTGTTTAGTATAATAAACGAAAACATAACATGTATGAATCCAGACATTTGAATGAAATTTGCACCTGCTAAAGTTTAATGACCAATCCAAAGAACGATTTACTTGGTCTAGGGGCTGAATTTGACAAAAGAAGATCAGCAAAGCACCTCCACTTGCCCAGTTCCTCCTCCCAGAAACATGATGACATTTAAGAACTCAGTGTTTTCCTTGTGACTTTTTCTCATGCATGATTTCTGAGTGCAGCATGCCCTCATGCAAACCACGACTTCATGTAGATGGGCGGGTCATGTGGTTGCCACAACCATCGGGGGGAGGGAGAGGCATACCGTGAAAGAGGTCCTTTAGTCGAGTTCTCAACAGAAACCCCATTTACAAAAATAGTCACATATAATAAACAACATATGGATTAAAAAAAAGATGAATCCACTAACAGATTTTGTAAAAATGTGACAAATGTGGCAGTTGAAATGCAAAGAGTGGAAATAATTACTACACTAGAGTGTTTCATGTTAAACAACCTCCAAAATTATAGCTTTTAACCCTTTTATGGTCCCTACAATCCAAGTAGCCATTTTGTCTCTTGTCTTCAGCAGTGTCCGCTGGTAGTGAGGACAGTAACTTCCTGTCATGGTTGTCACCCCTTTACACAGTTAGTTTGCCTGCTGACAAGGGGTCACTGTCTTAGTGTAGGCACTGACCTTTAAGTAGATTTGTGTAAAAACAGTCCGTTTGGCATTAACCTCCTAAAGGAGTCCTATTGACAAAAATACATCACCTTCACAGGCTGTAAACAATTTGTCATTCAATTATTTTTGTTTTATTTCCCTTTGGCTTTTTCATCTTTGCCTTCTTGCTCATGTTTTTCTACGATTGGCTTTGTTACCCGGTCATAAGAGGGTGGACAAACTGCTGTGGACATGGTGAGATCAGTTTTCTCTGTAATAGAGTTTTCATTTATTCTATCAATTATCAGGTCTTCTTTTACAAGAAGATTAGCCCCACTTTTGATTTTGTTTTTGTTGTATGTAAATGAAGCTTGTTTAACAGTTCGCTTCAAAAGATGGCGCCTATAAGCACGCTGAATAATAAGAGCAGACAACTCCTCTTGTTTTCGTTTTAAAGTAGTGGTAATTGGCTGATAGGAGACCTTGGAAGGATTGGAAGCCATGAATCTCTCTTCCATCTGTATTCGGAGAGCATCCATCTCTCCACTCTCCCCCAGAACCCGCTTTGTAAAAGCAAATAAGATGTCAAGACAGTGGATCCGGTCACCACTGACCATGGGGAGATCCATGGCAATGAGCTGGACTTTGTTTGGTTGTGGCAAATTGAGAGGGGGTTCAAGAGCAGCTGCAAACTGTGATAGTTTCTCAAATTCCATGAACTGAGTAGCATCTGGATCAAACTTCTCCCAAACCTCATAAAACATCTCGAAGTCATCCTCACTCAGGGGCTCTGCACTTTCTTCAGTAGCAACACTGAAGTTCTCCAGGATGACAGCGATGTACATGTTCACCACAACCAGGAATGAGATGATGATGTAACTGACAAAGAAGAAAATCCCAACAGATGGGTTGCCACAGTCTCCCTTAACAGGACTTCCAGGGTTAACTTTATTAGGATCACAGTCAGGTGGTCCACTATTAAGGATAGGTGCTAACAATCCATCCCAGCCAGCAGAGGTGGTAATTTGGAATAGGCAGATCATGCTGTTGCCAAAGGTCTCAAAGTTGAACATGTCATCAATTCCAACTTCCCTCTTAACATAGGCAAAGTTGGACATTCCAAAGATGGCGTAGATGAACATGACCAGGAAGAGCAGGAGGCCGATGTTAAACAAGGCAGGAAGGGACATCATCAAAGCAAACAGCAGTGTTCGGATTCCCTTTGCCCCTTTGATCAGACGCA